TACATCAACTGCACTTTTTTCAATTTTACTTTTTCTCAAGCGTTTGAACTTTTGCATTAATCTCCCGCCACGATCTCCGCATGTCCTAATATAGATATGGCCCAGCTTTTAGGTGTTGTCTGTTAAGGAGAAATTACTTTGTGTCCTTTGTTCAAATTAAGTTTGTTATTGTTATCGAATACATGCCACAGAGACAATTGAAATAGTTCTTGTCCCGACAAAAGGTAAGAGGGTATGGTGAAGGCCAGTCTAATGGTAATTGATAAAGGGGGTTGAACTACATGTATGTGTGAAACGAAAACATTTAGCCGACAGCAAATCACCACATGCATCGCTTGCGGGATATTAATAGGCTTCCTTGGAGCTCTGCGGTGTGCTTGGTGTGTAGCTAAAACCACTGTGACATCACCACAAGCGTTACAAAGCAGTTTATGCAATAATATCATTATGATATAATTTTTCTACCATTTCCGCGATCGCGAGGTATATAAGTTCGTAAAAAACTGGCAGCCATCAGTTTTTTCCTTTCGCTTACCAAAGAAGGACATTACGATACAATATGCAGTTCTCTAACTTCGCCGCACTTCTTGGCCTTGGTGAGTATTATCATTCTGTTGTCATGCTATATCAGTTTAAATGGTATTAGCTGTCCGAAATAAAACGCTGGAAAGTAACATGTCCCATGCAATCTTTAAAATGGAGTTGTTTGTGTGTGATATGACAGTATTGTAACTCCAAATCCTATATTCCAACAGCGTAAAAGTGTTAATTTCACAGGAAAGTGTGTTGCTTCAAGTTTCAAGCAACATCCTCCTCAACATCTACTATATAAAGTGTAATGCTTTATACATGGGCGTGTCTTTGTTTATTTTCCAGCTCTGGCAGCCGTTTTGGGTTTGGCTAGTGCTCACGGTCATGGTGGCCACGGACATGGTGGTCATGGACATGGTGGTCACGGACATGGAGGTCATGGACATGGACATGGTGGTCACGGTCATGGAGGACATGGTCATGGTCACGGAGGTCATGGTCACGGAGGTCATGGCCACGGAGGACACGGTCACCACGGATGAAGCTGCCGAGACGTTGGGGATTGATATCCTAAGTACACAGTCACATGAGAATCTGGATGTTGGGAATCCACTGTGTAGTCGATAACCTATTGTATTGATTGTGATTCGTGTATCATCATTGCCTCAAAGAATTAAAACATCGATCTGACAATTATGCTACTGTTTGTATTATTCATTCTCTTCGATATGGATGCTAGAATGACTACAGAACTAAAGCAATTGTGCAAATAAAATAATACTTAGTGCATGTACATAACAGCCCAAGTGACAGACGTAGGTTTAAGTCTGACAGCAAGAGAGTATGGTCTGAGATATGATAAGACGACACATCCTTGTTTCGTGCATGCTATAAAATCCACTCCCCGAAACACCATGGCTCATGTCATCCAAAATGCCGTAGTGTTTAACTGCAGCTATAAAGCAACTTAGGATAGAGGTAGTCCAATTCTGCACAACGCCTGCTCTATGGCATGTCCCAACTACTTTCAACTGGTACGTGCGTCGGGTCTCTCAAATGTGCCACTGAGTCATATATATCTTGTATCAACCCACATACTTAGCAAGGATTCGTCGTCATTTGATGGTATTAACCTAATATGCACACCATTGTCGATATGCATTGAATTTATCATATGGACGCGGGAGGCGCTATCAAGATAGCAAATGTGTCAGTAGGCTTGTTTGTCTGTTAGTGTTTGTGAGAGAGAGAGAGAGAGAGAGAGAGAGAGAGAGAGAGAGAGAGAGAGAGAGAGAGAGAGAGAGAGAGAGAGTCCGTGATAAACCAGTGTGCATATGAATCATTCCTCATACCAATTTGGTAAGAGGTAAATGTATTGGCGGCCAGAGCATTCTCACTTTAGCCCAGTGATCCCCGTACACAATAAAAGAGAAGATAATGTGTAATCAGATTTAACACTTTGGAGTGTATTTTTATTCAGAGGTCTGGTCAAACAAAATACAAGATCATCATGTTTTACATGAGTTGTTGTTTCCCCGTTGTCCAGCAGCAGTGGAATAAAAAACAAGGGCTTTCTCGTGACACATCTTTCTGAAATGAAGAATAGGCCAAAGTTATCAGGCATGTCATTTCTACTGAAATTTGCAGAGGACATTGCCTCCGAGATATATACTTTATGTTTACAGAAACGAGTATTCCCGAGGAAAGAGTTCATCCCGTCAGGCGTTAATTGTTCTTTGGAAAACACAGTTAAGAACGTTTGCAACACAACCATTGTGAGATCTAACCGTCTACCTACCAGCTGCTATGTTTATCCATGGTGCCCCTTTCCTCCATGGCCGCCTCCATGTCCTTTGCCCCCGTGTCCGCCACCATGGCCTCCGTGTCCCTTGCCCCCATGGCCACCACCATGACCTTTGCCGCCATGACCCTTTCCACCTCCATGACCACCTCCATGACCATGACCATGACCACCACCATGACCCTTGGCCATGCTGGTTCCGAACACTGCAGCAAGAGCTGTCAGAAAGAGAAAACACAATACATTATTTGCGACGCTGATAATGTGTACTGTTCAGGCTAGTTAAAAGCAATTATTAAGACGTAAACACAGTCACATCGCGTTAATAAAATGTTGACAGTTGGAGTAGATGGCATATCATATTTAGGTTTCCTATATAGATTGACAGTGACTGTCAAGTAACTTTTCTCACAAATGATCTGAACTTTCAGCCAGGCGATTATACAGCGTGACTAGTGTAGATTTACATTAAGGCACCAACGAGGTATGCTCACCTGCTACAAGGAGCACTGCGACTTTAAGAAAATGCATATTTGATAGTTCTGATGAATGCAAACCTCAGAAAACGTAAAGTTACCTTCTGCACGTTCTCTTTTATAGAGGTGTAACAGCATGTTCTGTGCATGCATGGGGATGCGGCGCACCTTTCCAAATCAGATTAATTAACCAGATGTTTAATTTCTACATCAACTGCACTTTTTTCAATTTTACTTTTTCTCAAGCGTTTGAACTTTTGCATTAATCTCCCGCCACGATCTCCGCATGTCCTAATATAGATATGGCCCAGCTTTTAGGTGTTGTCTGTTAAGGAGAAATTACTTTGTGTCCTTTGTTCAAATTAAGTTTGTTATTGTTATCGAATACATGCCACAGAGACAATTGAAATAGTTCTTGTCCCGACAAAAGGTAAGAGGGTATGGTGAAGGCCAGTCTAATGGTAATTGATAAAGGGGGTTGAACTACATGTATGTGTAAAACGAAAACATTTAGCCGACAGCAAATCACCACATGCATCGCTTGCGGGATATTAATAGGCTTCCTTGGAGCTCTGCGGTGTGCTTGGTGTGTAGCTAAAACCACTGTGACATCACCACAAGCGTTACAAAGCAGTTTATGCAATAATATCATTATGATATAATTTTTCTACCATTTCCGCGATCGCGAGGTATATAAGTTCGTAAAAAACTGGCAGCCATCAGTTTTTTCCTTTCGCTTACCAAAGAAGGACATTACGATACAATATGCAGTTCTCTAACTTCGCCGCACTTCTTGGCCTTGGTGAGTATTATCATTCTGTTGTCATGCTATATCAGTTTAAATGGTATTAGCTGTCCGAAATAAAACGCTGGAAAGTAACATGTCCCATGCAATCTTTAAAATGGAGTTGTTTGTGTGTGATATGACAGTATTGTAACTCCAAATCCTATATTCCAACAGCGTAAAAGTGTTAATTTCACAGGAAAGTGTGTTGCTTCAAGTTTCAAGCAACATCCTCCTCAACATCTACTATATAAAGTGTAATGCTTTATACATGGGCGTGTCTTTGTTTATTTTCCAGCTCTGGCAGCCGTTTTGGGTTTGGCTAGTGCTCACGGTCATGGTGGCCACGGACATGGTGGTCATGGACATGGTGGTCACGGACATGGAGGTCATGGACATGGACATGGTGGTCACGGTCATGGAGGACATGGTCATGGTCACGGAGGTCATGGTCACGGAGGTCATGGCCACGGAGGACACGGTCACCACGGATGAAGCTGCCGAGACGTTGGGGATTGATATCCTAAGTACACAGTCACATGAGAATCTGGATGCTGGGAATCCACTGTGTAGTCGATAACCTATTGTATTGATTGTGATTCGTGTATCATCATTGCCTCAAAGAATTAAAACATCGATCTGACAATTATGCTACTGTTTGTATTATTCATTCTCTTCGATATGGATGCTAGAATGACTACAGAACTAAAGCAATTGTGCAAATAAAATAATACTTAGTGCATGTACATAACAGCCCAAGTGACAGACGTAGGTTTAAGTCTGACAGCAAGAGAGTATGGTCTGAGATATGATAAGACGACACATCCTTGTTTCGTGCATGCTATAAAATCCACTCCCCGAAACACCATGGCTCATGTCATCCAAAATGCCGTAGTGTTTAACTGCAGCTATAAAGCAACTTAGGATAGAGGTAGTAATCAGTCCAATTCTGCACAACGCCTGCTCTATGGCATGTCCCAACTACTTTCAACTGGTACGTGCGTCGGGTCTCTCAAATGTGCCACTGAGTCATATATATCTTGTATCAACCCACATACTTAGCAAGGATTCGTCGTCATTTGATGGTATTAACCTAATATGCACACCATTGTCGATATGCATTGAATTTATCATATGGACGCGGGAGGCGCTATCAAGATAGCAAATGTGTCAGTAGGCTTGTTTGTCTGTTAGTGTTTGTGAGAGAGAGAGAGAGAGAGAGAGAGAGAGAGAGAGAGAGAGAGAGAGAGAGAGAGAGAGAGAGAGAGAGAGAGAGAGAGTCCATGATAAACCAGTGTGCATATGAATCATTCCTCATACCAATTTGGTAAGAGGTAAATGTATTGGCGGCCAGAGCATTCTCACTTTAGCCCAGTGATCCCCGTACACAATAAAAGAGAAGATAATGTGTAATCAGATTTAACACTTTGGAGTGTATTTTTATTCAGAGGTCTGGTCAAACAAAATACAAGATCATCATGTTTTACATGAGTTGTGGTTTCCCCGTTGTCCAGCAGCAGTGGAATAAAAAACAAGGGCTTTCTCGTGACACATCTTTCTGAAATGAAGAATAGGCCAAAGTTATCAGGCATGTCATTTCTACTGAAATTTGCAGAGGACATTGCCTCCGAGATATATACTTTATGTTTACAGAAACGAGTATTCCCGAGGAAAGAGTTCATCCCGTCAGGCGTTAATTGTTCTTTGGAAAACACAGTTAAGAACGTTTGCAACACAACCATTGTGAGATCTAACCGTCTACCTACCAGCTGCTATGTTTATCCATGGTGCCCCTTTCCTCCATGGCCGCCTCCATGTCCTTTGCCCCCGTGTCCGCCACCATGGCCTCCGTGTCCCTTGCCCCCCATGGCCACCACCATGACCTTTGCCGCCATGACCCTTTCCACCTCCATGACCACCTCCATGACCACCTCCATGACCATGACCATGACCACCACCATGACCCTTGGCCATGCTGGTTCCGAACACTGCAGCAAGAACTGTCAGAAAGAGAAAACACAATACATTATTTGCGACGCTGATAATGTGTACTGTTCAGGCTAGTTAAAAGCAATTATTAAGACGTAAACACAGTCACATCGCGTTAATAAAATGTTGACAGTTGGAGTAGATGGCATATCATATTTAGGTTTCCTATATAGATTGACAGTGACTGTCAAGTAACTTTTCTCACAAATGATCTGAACTTTCAGCCAGGCGATTATACAGCGTGACTAGTGTAGATTTACATTAAGGCACCAACGAGGTATGCTCACCTGCTACAAGGAGCACTGCGACTTTAAGAAAATGCATATTTGATAGTTCTGATGAATGCAAACCTCAGAAAACGTAAAGTTACCTTCTGCACGTTCTCTTTTATAGAGGTGTAACAGCATGTTCTGTGCATGCATGGGGATGCGGCGCACCTTTCCAAATCAGATTAATTAACCAGATGTTTAATTTCTACATCAACTGCACTTTTTTTCAATTTTACTTTTTCTCAAGCGTTTGAACTTTTGCATTAATCTCCCGCCACGATCTCCGCATGTCCTAATATAGATATGGCCCAGCTTTTAGGTGTTGTCTGTTAAGGAGAAATTACTTTGTGTCCTTTGTTCAAATTAAGTTTGTTATTGTTATCGAATACATGCCACAGAGACAATTGAAATAGTTCTTGTCCCGACAAAAGGTAAGAGGGTATGGTGAAGGCCAGTCTAATGGTAATTGATAAAGGGGGTTGAACTACATGTATGTGTAAAACGAAAACATTTAGCCGACAGCAAATCACCACATGCATCGCTTGCGGGATATTAATAGGCTTCCTTGGAGCTCTGCGGTGTGCTTGGTGTGTAGCTAAAACCACTGTGACATCACCACAAGCGTTACAAAGCAGTTTATGCAATAATATCATTATGATATAATTTTTCTACCATTTCCGCGATCGCGAGGTATATAAGTTCGTAAAAAACTGGCAGCCATCAGTTTTTTCCTTTCGCTTACCAAAGAAGGACATTACGATACAATATGCAGTTCTCTAACTTCGCCGCACTTCTTGGCCTTGGTGAGTATTATCATTCTGTTGTCATGCTATATCAGTTTAAATGGTATTAGCTGTCCGAAATAAAACGAATACCATGCATTGAAAGTAACATGTCCATGCAATCTTTAAATGGAGTTGTTTGTGTGTGATATGACAGTATTGTAACTCCAAATCCTATATTCCAACAGCGTAAAAGTGTTAATTTCACAGGAAAGTGTGTTGCTTCAAGTTTCAAGCAACATCCTCCTCAACATCTACTATATAAAGTGTAATGCTTTATACATGGGCGTGTCTTTGTTTATTTTCCAGCTCTGGCAGCCGTTTTGGGTTTGGCTAGTGCTCACGGTCATGGTGGCCACGGACATGGTGGTCATGGACATGGTGGTCACGGACATGGAGGTCATGGACATGGACATGGTGGTCACGGTCATGGAGGACATGGTCATGGTCACGGAGGTCATGGTCACGGAGGTCATGGCCACGGAGGACACGGTCACCACGGATGAAGCTGCCGAGACGTTGGGGATTGATATCCTAAGTACACAGTCACATGAGAATCTGGATGCTGGGAATCCACTGTGTAGTCGATAACCTATTGTATTGATTGTGATTCGTGTATCATCATTGCCTCAAAGAATTAAAACATCGATCTGACAATTATGCTACTGTTTGTATTATTCATTCTCTTCGATATGGATGCTAGAATGACTACAGAACTAAAGCAATTGTGCAAATAAAATAATACTTAGTGCATGTACATAACAGCCCAAGTGACAGACGTAGGTTTAAGTCTGACAGCAAGAGAGTATGGTCTGAGATATGATAAGACGACACATCCTTGTTTCGTGCATGCTATAAAATCCACTCCCCGAAACACCATGGCTCATGTCATCCAAAATGCCGTAGTGTTTAACTGCAGCTATAAAGCAACTTAGGATAGAGGTAGTAATCAGTCCAATTCTGCACAACGCCTGCTCTATGGCATGTCCCAACTACTTTCAACTGGTACGTGCGTCGGGTCTCTCAAATGTGCCACTGAGTCATATATATCTTGTATCAACCCACATACTTAGCAAGGATTCGTCGTCATTTGATGGTATTAACCTAATATGCACACCATTGTCGATATGCATTGAATTTATCATATGGACGCGGGAGGCGCTATCAAGATAGCAAATGTGTCAGTAGGCTTGTTTGTCTGTTAGTGTTTGTGAGAGAGAGAGAGAGAGAGAGAGAGAGAGAGAGAGAGAGAGAGAGAGAGAGAGAGAGAGAGAGAGAGAGAGAGAGAGAGAGTCCATGATAAACCAGTGTGCATATGAATCATTCCTCATACCAATTTGGTAAGAGGTAAATGTATTGGCGGCCAGAGCATTCTCACTTTAGCCCAGTGATCCCCGTACACAATAAAAGAGAAGATAATGTGTAATCAGATTTAACACTTTGGAGTGTATTTTTATTCAGAGGTCTGGTCAAACAAAATACAAGATCATCATGTTTTACATGAGTTGTGGTTTCCCCGTTGTCCAGCAGCAGTGGAATAAAAAACAAGGGCTTTCTCGTGACACATCTTTCTGAAATGAAGAATAGGCCAAAGTTATCAGGCATGTCATTTCTACTGAAATTTGCAGAGGACATTGCCTCCGAGATATATACTTTATGTTTACAGAAACGAGTATTCCCGAGGAAAGAGTTCATCCCGTCAGGCGTTAATTGTTCTTTGGAAAACACAGTTAAGAACGTTTGCAACACAACCATTGTGAGATCTAACCGTCTACCTACCAGCTGCTATGTTTATCCATGGTGCCCCTTTCCTCCATGGCCGCCTCCATGTCCTTTGCCCCCGTGTCCGCCACCATGGCCTCCGTGTCCCTTGCCCCCATGGCCACCACCATGACCTTTGCCGCCATGACCCTTTCCACCTCCATGACCACCTCCATGACCATGACCATGACCACCACCCATGACCCTTGGCCATGCTGGTTCCGAACACTGCAGCAAGAACTGTCAGAAAGAGAAAACACAATACATTATTTGCGACGCTGATAATGTGTACTGTTCAGGCTAGTTAAAAGCAATTATTAAGACGTAAACACAGTCACATCGCGTTAATAAAATGTTGACAGTTGGAGTAGATGGCATATCATATTTAGGTTTCCTATATAGATTGACAGTGACTGTCAAGTAACTTTTCTCACAAATGATCTGAACTTTCAGCCAGGCGATTATACAGCGTGACTAGTGTAGATTTACATTAAGGCACCAACGAGGTATGCTCACCTGCTACAAGGAGCACTGCGACTTTAAGAAAATGCATATTTGATGGTTCTGATGAATGCAAACCTCAGAAAACGTAAAGTTACCTTCTGCACGTTCTCTTTTATAGAGGTGTAACAGCATGTTCTGTGCATGCATGGGGATGCGGCGCACCTTTCCAAATCAGATTAATTAACCAGATGTTTAATTTCTACATCAACTGCACTTTTTTCAATTTTACTTTTTCTCAAGCGTTTGAACTTTTGCATTAATCTCCCGCCACGATCTCCGCATGTACTAATATAGATATGGCCCAGCTTTTAGGTGTTGTTAAGGAGAAATTACTTGTGTCCTTTGTTCAAATTAAGTTTGTTATTGTTATCGAATACATGCCACAGAGACAATTGAAATAGTTCTTGTCCCGACAAAAGGTAAGAGGGTATGGTGAAGGCCAGTCTAATGGTAATTGATAAAGGGGGTTGAACTACATGTATGTGTAAAACGAAAACATTTAGCCGACAGCAAATCACCACATGCCATCGCTTGCGGGATATTAATAGGCTTCCTTGGAGCTCTGCGGTGTGCTTGGTGTGTAGCTAAAACCACTGTGACATCACCACAAGCGTTACAAAGCAGTTTATGCAATAATATCATTATGATATAATTTTTCTACCATTTCCGCGATCGCGAGGTATATAAGTTCGTAAAAACTGGCAGCCATCAGTTTTTTCCTTTCGCTTACCAAGAAGGACATTACGGATACAATATGCAGTTCTCTAACTTCGCCGCACTTCTTGGCCTTGGTGAGTATTATCATTCTGTTGTCATGCTATATCAGTTTAAATGGTATTAGCTGTCCGAAATAAAACGCTGGAAAGTAACATGTCCCATGCAATCTTTAAAATGGAGTTGTTTGTGTGTGATATGACAGTATTGTAACTCCAAATCCTATATTCCAACAGCGTAAAAAGTGTTAATTTCACAGGAAAGTGTGTTGCTTCAAGTTTCAAGCAACATCCCTCCTCAACATCTACTATATAAAGTGTAATGCTTTATACATGGGCGTGTCTTTGTTTATTTTCCCAGCTCTGGCAGCCGTTTTGGGTTTGGCTAGTGCTCACGGTCATGGTGGCCACGGACATGGTGGTCATGGACATGGTGGTCACGGACATGGAGGTCATGGACATGGACATGGTGGTCACGGTCATGGAGGACATGGTCATGGTCACGGAGGTCATGGTCACGGAGGTCATGCCACGGAGGACACGGTCACCACGGATGAAGCTGCCGAGACGTTGGGGATTGATATCCCTAAGTACACAGTCACATGAGAATCTGGATGCTGGGAATCCACTGTGTAGTCGATAACCTATTGTATTGATTGTGATTCGTGTATCATCATTGCCTCAAAGAATTAAAACATCGATCTGACAATTATGCTACTGTTTGTATTATTCATTCTCTTCGATATGGATGCTAGAATGACTACAGAACTAAAGCAATTGTGCAAATAAAATAATACTTAGTGCATGTACATAACAGCCCAAGTGACAGACGTAGGTTTAAGTCTGACAGCAAGAGAGTATGGTCTGAGATATGATAAGACGACACATCCTTGTTTCGTGCATGCTATAAAATCCCACTCCCCGAAACACCATGGCTCATGTCATCCAAAATGCCGTAGTGTTTAACTGCAGCTATAAAGCAACTTAGGATAGAGGTAGTATCAGTCCAATTCTGCACAACGCCTGCTCTATGGCATGTCCCAACTACTGTTCAACTGGTACGTGCGTCGGGTCTCTCAAATGTGCCACTGAGTCATATATATCTTGTATCAACCCACATACTTAGCAAGGATTCGTCGTCATTTGATGGTATTAACCTAATATGCACACCATTGTCGATATGCATTGAATTTATCTTATGGACGCGGGAGGCGCTATCAAGATAGCAAATGTGTCAGTAGGCTTGTTTGTCTGTTAGTGTCTGTGAGAGAGAGAGAGAGAGAGAGAGAGAAGAGAGAGAGGAGAGAGAGAGAGAGAGAATGAGAGAGAGAGAGAGAGAGAGAGAGAGAGAGTCCATGATAAACCAGTGTGCATATGAATCATTCCTCATACCAATTTGGTAAGAGGTAAATGTATTGGCGGCCAGAGCATTCTCACTTTAGCCCAGTGATCCCCGTACACAATAAAAGAGAAGATAATGTGTAATCAGATTTAACACTTTGGAGTGTATTTTTATTCAGAGGTCTGGTCAAACAAAATACAAGATCATCATGTTTTACATGAGTTGTGGTTTCCCCGTTGTCCAGCAGCAGTGGAATAAAAAACAAGGGCTTTCTCGTGACACATCTTCTGAAATGAAGAATAGGCCAAAGTTATCAGGCATGTCATTTCTACTGAAATTTGCAGAGGACATTGCCTCCGAGATATATACTTTATGTTTACAGAAACGAGGTATTCCCGAGGAAAGAGTTCATCCCGTCAGGCGTTAATTGTTCTTTGGAAAACACAGTTAAGAACGTTTGCAACACAACCATTGTGAGATCAAACCGTCTACCTACCAGCTGCTATGTTTATCCATGGTGCCCCTTTCCTCCATGGCCGCCTCCATGTCCTTTGCCCCCGTGTCCGCCACCATGGCTCTCCGTGTCCCTTGCCCCATGGCCACCACCATGACCTTTGCCGCCATGACCCTTTCACCCTCCATGACCACCTCCATGACCATGACCATGACCACCACCATGACCCTTGGCCATGCTGGTTCCGAACACTGCAGCAAGAACTGTCAGAAAGAGAAAACACAATACATTATTTGCGACGCTGATAATGTGTACTGTTCAGGCTAGTTAAAAGCAATTATTAAGACGTAAACACAGTCACATCGCGTTAATAAAATGTTGACAGTTGGAGTAGATGGCATATCATATTTAGGTTTCCTATATAGATTGACAGTGACTGTCAAGTAACTTTTCTCACAAATGATCTGAACTTTCAGCCAGGCGATTATACAGCGTGACTAGTGTAGATTTACATTAAGGCACCAACGAGGTATGCTCACCTGCTACAAGGAGCACTGCGACTTTAAGAAAATGCATATTTGATGGTTCTGATGAATGCAAACCTCAGAAAACGTAAAGTTACCTTCTGCACGTTCTCTTTTATAGAGGTGTAACAGCATGTTCTGTGCATGCATGGGGATGCGGCGCACCTTTCCAAATCAGATTAATTAACCAGATGTTTAATTTCTACATCAACTGCACTTTTTTCAATTTTACTTTTTCTCAAGCGTTTGAACTTTTGCATTAATCTCCCGCCACGATCTCCGCATGTCCTAATATAGATATGGCCCAGCTTTTAGGTGTTGTCTGTTAAGGAGAAATTACTTTGTGTCCTTTGTTCAATATTAAGTTTGTTATTGTTATCGAATACATGCCACAGAGACAATTGAAATAGTTCTTGTCCGGACAAAAGGTAAGAGGGTATGGTGAAGGCCAGTCTAATGGTAATTGATAAAGGGGGTTGAACTACATGTATGTGTAAAACGAAAACATTTAGCCGACAGCAAATCACCACATGCATCGCTTGCGGGATATTAATAGGCTTCCTTGGAGCTCTGCGGTGTGCTTGGTGTGTAGCTAAAACCACTGTGACTTCACCACAAGCGTTACAAAGCAGTTTATGCAATAATATCATTATGATATAATTTTTCTACCATTTCCGCGATCGCGAGGTATATAAGTTCGTAAAAAACTGGCAGCCATCAGTTTTTTCCTTTCGCTTACCAAAGAAGGACATTACGATACAATATGCAGTTCTCTAACTTCGCCGCACTTCTTGGCCTTGGTGAGTATTATCATTCTGTTGTCATGCTATATCAGTTTAAATGGTATTAGCTGTCCGAAATAAAACGCTGGAAAGTAACATGTCCCCATGCAATCTTTAAAATGGAGTTGTTTGTGTGTGATATGACAGTATTGTAACTCCAAATCCTATATTCCAACAGCGTAAAAGTGTTAATTTCACAGGAAAGTGTGTTGCTTCAAGTTTCAAGCAACATCCTCCTCAACATCTACTATATAAAGTGTAATGCTTTATACATGGGCGTGTCTTTGTTTATTTTCCAGCTCTGGCAGCCGTTTTGGGTTTGGCTAGTGCTCACGGTCATGGTGGCCACGGACATGGTGGTCATGGACATGGTGGTCACGGACATGGAGGTCATGGACATGGACATGGTGGTCACGGTCATGGAGGACATGGTCATGGTCACGGAGGTCATGGTCACGGAGGTCATGGCCACGGAGGACACGGTCACCACGGATGAAGCTGCCGAGACGTTGGGGATTGATATCCTAAGTACACAGTCACATGAGAAATCTGGATGCTGGGAATCCACTGTGTAGTCGATAACCTATTGTATTGATTGTGATTTGTGTATCATCATTGCCTCAAAGAATTAAAACATCGATCTGACAATTATGCTACTGTTTGTATTATTCATTCTCTTCTATATGGATGCTAGAATGACTACAGAACTAAAGCAAATGTGCAAATAAAATAATACTTAGTGCATGTACATAACTGCCCAAGTGACAGACGTAGGTTTTAAGTCTGACAGCAAGAGAGTATGGTCTGAGATATGATAAGACGACACATCCTTGTTTCGTGCATGCTATAAAATCCACTCCCCGAAACACCATGGCTCATGTCATCCAAAATGCCGTAGTGTTTTAACTGCAGCTATAAAGCAACTTAGGATAGAGGTAGTAATCAGTCCAATTCTGCACAACGCCCTGCTCTATGGCATGTCCCAACTACTTTCAACTGGTACGTGCGTCGGGTCTCTCAAATGTGCCACTGAGTCATATATATCTTGTATCAACCCACATACTTAGCAAGGATTCGTCGTCATTTGATGGTATTAACCTAATATGCACACCATTGTCGATATGCATTGAATTTATCATATGGACGCGGGAGGCGCTATCAAGATAGCAAATGTGTCAGTAGGCTTGTTTGTCTGTTAGTGTTTGTGAGAGAGAGAGAGAGAGGAGAGAGAGAGAGAGAGAGAGAGAGAGAGAGAGAGAGAGAGAGAGAGAGAGAGAGAGAGAGGAGAGAGAGAGAGAGAGTCCATGATAAACCAGTGTGCATATGAATCATTCCTCATACCAATTTGGTAAGAGGTAAATGTATTGGCGGCCAGAGGCATTCTCACTTAAGCCCAGTGATCCCGTACACAATAAAAGAGAAGATAATGTGTAATCAGATTTAACACTTTGGAGTGTATTTTTATTCAGAGGTCTGGTCAAACAAAATACAAGATCATCATGTTTTACATGAGTTGTGGTTTCCCGTTGTCCAGCAGCAGTGGAATAAAAAACAAGGGCTTTCTCGTGACACATCTTTCTGAAATGAAGAATAGGCCCAAAGTTAATCAGGCATGTCATTTCTACTGAAATTTGCAGAGGACATTGCCTTCGAGATATATACTTTATGTTTACAGAAACGAGTATTCCCGAGGAAAGAGTTCATCCCGTCAGGCGTTAATTGTTCTTTGGAAAACACAGTTAAGAACGTTTGCAACACAACCATTGTGAGATCTAACCGTCTACCTACCAGCTGCTATGTTTATCCATGGTGCCCCTTTCCTCCATGGCCGCCTCCATGTCCTTTGCCCCCGTGTCCGCCACCATGGCCTCCGTGTCCCTTGCCCCATGGCCACCACCCATGACCTTTGCCGCCATGACCCTTTCCACCTCCATGACCACCTCCATGACCATGACCATGACCAACCACCATGACCCTTGGCCATGCTGGTTCCGAACACTGCAGCAAGAACTGTCAGAAAGAGAAAACACAATACATTATTTGCGACGCTGATAATGTGTACTGTTCAGGCTAGTTAAAAGCAATTATTAAGACGTAAACACAGTCACATCGCGTTAATAAAATGTTGACAGTTGGAGTAGATGGCATATCATATTTAGGTTTCCTATATAGATTGACAGTGACTGTCAAGTAACTTTTCTCACAAATTGATCTGAACTTTCAGCCAGGCGATTATACAGCGTGACTAGTGTAGATTTACATTAAGGCACAACGAGGTATGCTCACCTGCTACAAGGAGCACTGCGACTTTAAGAAAATGCATATTTGATGGTTCTGATGAATGCAAACCTCAGAAAACGTAAAGTTACATTCTGAACGTTCTCTTTTATAGAGGTGTAACAGCATGTTCTGTGCATGCATGGGGATGCGGCGCAACCTTTCCAAATCAGATTAATTAACCAGATGTTTAATTTCTACATCAACTGCACTTTTTTCAATTTTACTTTTTCTCAAGCGTTTGAACTTTTGCATTAATCTCCCGCCACGATCTCCGCATGTCCTAATATAGATATGGCCCAGCTATTTAGGTGTTGTCTGTTAAGGAGAAATTACTTTGTGTCCTTTGATCAAATTAAGTTTGTTATTGTTATCGAATACATGCCACAGAGACAATTGAAATAGTTCTTGTCCCGACAAAAGGTAAGAGGGTATGGTGAAGGCCAGTCTAATGGTAATTGATAAAGGGGGTTGAACTACATGTATGTGTAAAACGAAAACATTTAGCCGACAGCAAATCACCACATGCATCGCTTGCGGGATATTAATAGGCTTCCTTGGAGCTCTGCGGTGTGCTTGGTGTGTAGCTAAAACCACTGTGACATCTCCACAAGCGTTACAAAGCAGTTTATGCAATAATATCATTATGATATAATTTTTCTACCATTTCCCGCGATCGCGTGGTATATATATAAGTTCGTTAAAAAACTGGCAGCCATCAGTTTTTTCCTTTCGCTTACCAAAGAAGGACATTACGATACAATATGCAGTTCTCTAACTTCGCCGCACTTCTTGGCCTTGGTGAGTATTATCATTCTGTTGTCATGCTATATCAGTTTAAATGGTATTAGCTGTCCCGAAATAAAACGCTGGAAAGTAACATGTCCCATGCAATCTTTAAAATGGAGTTGTTTGTGTGTGATATGACAGTATTGTAACTCCAAATCCTATATTCCAACAGGCGTAAAAGTGTTAATTTCACAGGAAAGTGATGTTGCTTCAAGTTTCAAGCAACATCCTCCTCAACATCTACTATATAAAGTGTAATGCTTTATACATGGGCGTGTCTTTGTTTATTTTCCAGCTCTGGCAGCCGTTTTGGGTTTGGCTAGTGCTCACGGTCATGGTGGCCACGGACATGGTGGTCATGGACATGGTGGTCACGGACATGGAGGTCATGGACATGACATGGTGGTCACGGTCATGGAGGACATGGTCATGGTCACGGAGGTCATGGTCACGGAGAGGTCATGGCCACGGAGGACACGGTCACCACGGATGAAGCTGCCGAGAACGTTGGGGGATTGATATCCTAAGTACACAGTCCACATGAGAATCTGGA